AGACTCCTGAACAGCTAATCATGGCTACCCAGACTATTTGCACTGCCCCCCCCCCACACCACCCCATCCCCCTATTTTACGCTGCTGCTACTCTGTTTATTATTTATCCATAGTCACTTTAACTCTACCCACGTGTACATATTACCTCAATTACCTCGACTAGCCGGTGCCCCCACACATTGACTCTGTCCCGGTACGCCCCTGTATATAGCCTCCCTACTGTTATTTCACATTGACTCTGTCCTGGTACCCCCCTGTATATAGCCTCCCTACTGATATTTTACTTTACTGCTGCTCTTTAGTTATTTCTTAATATTTTTTTACTTAACACTTTATTTTTTATTGTATTTTTTATTTTAAAAAACTGCATTGTTGGTTAAGGGCTTGTAAGTAAGCATTTCACTGTAATGTCTACACCTGTTGTATTCGGCGCATGTGGCAAATAACATTTGATTTGATTTGATTTGATTCATGATGACAGAAGTGAGTGCTACGGGGCGATGGTCATTTAGTTCAGTTACCTTTGCTTTCTTGGGCACAGGAACAGCCTTGCGAGGGTTAACACGCTTAAATATCTTACTCACGTATGACGTCGGTGAAACTTGCAGTCGACCGCAGTCAAAACTTCATGACCTTTGATCACATCATTTTTGTAAAGTTCATGCAGTTGACTCGTAGCTGCAATTTGGACAATCCCCAGAATGCAACACACTTTGAAAGGTGGTGACCAATGATCTGCGCATGTGCACAGGTGCGCTTCATGCTGCTACAACGTGGTAGCTACTGGACCAAAACAGTGGAGAAGCCTCGCACTTCAACGGTCCTGGTTGTTGCGTAAATTGACCCACTACTACTGTTGCTTTAGTACATCTATGTCATCTCGTTGAGTCTACCTTTAAACCTGACCTATTTACATTTTAGTCATTTAGCAGACGCTCTTATCCAGAGCGACTTACAGTTAGTGAATACATATTTTTTTATACTGGCCCCCCGTGGGAATCGAACCCACAACCCTGGCATTGCAAACGCCATGCTCTATCAACTGAGCTACATCCCTGCCGGCCATTCCCTCCCCTACCCTGGACGACGCTGGGCCAACATTATCCTAGCCTCCTACAGATAGGCTTCTTTCTGTCACTAACAATACAATTAAAACGAAATATAAATGTTTTTATAAAACTTTAACTAAATAAAAATTAGTAAAGTGAATCTGAAAACTAACTGAAATTAAACTGAATTTCTAATACAAATATAACAGAAATAAAAAATAATATAAAAACACAAAACTATAATAACTTTGGCATGTATGTTTACACACACACACACACACACACACACACACACACACACACACACACACACCACACACACACACACACACACACACCACACACACACCACACACACACACACACACACACACCACACACACACACACACACACACACACACACATCGCAAACACACGCACAACACACACACTCACAACACACAACACACACAAACACACACACACACACACAACAACACACACACACACACACACCTACACACACACGCACACACACACACAAACACACACACAAAGGTACATACACACACACACACACAACCCACACACAACACACACACAAACACCACACAGCACACACACACAAATTACATACACACACACACCCACACACACACAAATGTACAGCACACACACACACAACCACAAACACAACACCAATGTACTACACACAACACACACACACACAAATGTACATGCACACACACACACACACACATACACACAAATGTACATGCACACACACACACACACACACACACAGACACATACACATACACACTAGCCTTCCTGGGTGGGTACAGCATATCTCTGTCATCCGTCATCTATCATTTACTGAGATTTCATTCAATCTAGTATAAATAAACAACTTTCCTCACATGGTCGATATGATCTCTACATCACCATGTTGCACATCTCTTATCTTACAAAGATATTAGGAGAGGAGGGCAAAGAGGAATGTACAGAACTGAATGTAGTGTGTCTTGATTCACTTCCAGTACTTTTGCATGGATCTTGATCCCAAAAATGCTTACAAAAACAAACCAAAACTTTCATAGAGATTAATTCTGTGCCTTGATTTGCTGTCTGAACTTCAGTATTGTCTCAGTGAAAGAATGTTTATGAGAACGTAACAAAAACATGGAGATGAATGTTATCAGAGAAGAGGGGCAGCCTGGGAGTTTTTGCTCTCTTAACATCTCTTGTGACAGGGACACACACAGCTGAGGGGAAGATTCATCTGTGTGTGTGTGTGTGTGTGTGTGTGTGTGTGTGTGTGTGTGTGTGTGTGTGTGTGTGTGTGTGTGTGTGACCGTAGCAGCATCAAGATAAAGTCCAGGTGATTAATCCCTTTATCAGCTGTGTTTATGCCTGACGGTCGCTTAGATGGAACACACACACACACATACACACACACACACCACACTAGCATGCACACACACACACACAGTCTTGTACAGCTAACTTTGTGGGGACACACATTTCAGTCCCATTCAAAATCCTATTTTCCCTAACCCCTAACCCTAACCCTAACCTTAACCCTGACCCTAACCTGTACTATTACCTTTACCCTAACCCTAACCCTAACCCTAACCTTAACCCTAACCCTAACCCTAACCCTAACACTAACCTTAACCCAAAACCCTAACCTTAACCTTAACCCCTAAATCTAACCCTAGCTCCTAACCCTAACCCTAAATCTAATCCTAGCTCCTAACCCTAACCCTCAATCTAACTCTAGCTCCTAACCCTAACCCTAAAACTAACCCTAGCTCCTAACCCTATCCCTTAACGTAATTCTAACCCTAAAACTAATTCTAACGTTAACCATAAACCTCCTAGAAATAGCATTTGACCTCGTGGGGACTAACAAAATGTCCCCAGTTGGTCAATTTTCTTTCCGTTTACTATTCTTGTGGGGACTTCTGGTCCCCACAAGAATAGTTAAATATGTCGACGCTCAGCCAAAGGCCCTGAGATAAAGTCTGATTGAGCCTGTCTCTGATATACTGTGTGTGTGTGCGTGTGTGTTTTCATTTAACTATCCTTGTGGGTACCAGACGTTCTCACAAGAATAGTAAAACAAGGAAAATTCAGACAAGTGGGGACATTTTGCAGGTCCCCATGAGGAAAAATGCTATTTTTGGCTTAGGGTTAGGGTTACAATTAGGGTAAGGGTTAGAATTAAGGTTAGCGTTAGGAGTTACGGTTAGGTTTAGGGTTCCGGTTAGGAGTTAAGGTTAGGTATAATTTTAGGGTTAGGGTTAGGAGTCCCGGTTATGTTTAGGGTTACGGTTAGGAGTTAAGGTTAGGTATAATTTTAGGGTTAGGGTTAGGGGTTTGGGGTTAAGGTTAGGCTTAGGGTTATGGTTAGGGTTATGGTTAAATTAAGGGTTAAGGTTCGATTTAGGGAAAATAGGATTTTGGATGGGAATCAATTCTTTGGTCCCCACAAGAATAGCAATACAAAACTGTGTGTTTTTGTGTGTATGTTTGTGTGTGCGTGTGTGTGTGTGAGTGTGTGTGTGTGTGTGTGGGCGCGCGTGTGTGTGTGTGGTGCATACGTGTGTGTCCAGCTGATAAGAGGACACACACCAGTGAGCATGAATGAGTGGACAGATTCCTAGGAGTACCCACGGTCTAGATTAATATCTCTGTCATCAAAGCACACTAATTACACACAGCATGTCAGAACAACTACTAAAAATCCTGACTAAGACAGTTTTCTGCTGAAACATTGGTGATTTTTTGAAGTGAGGGTGCGCAGTAACAAAGTTCCACCAGCCTGCACCCATTACTGATCCAGATTATTAAACCAATTGAGTTTATTTCCCTGCATCAAATGGCCTGTTTCCAAACTGGTATCGGTGTATCAAACCAGTCAAACCTTAGTACACATGTTCTATCTTAATTTGACCAGTTCTCACAGCAGGAAAATAATCCTGCAGCAACAGGAAATGAGAATTATTATGTGCATTATATTTAATATACATTTTTGTACACACAAATGCAGCATGTCAGAACAGTTGTAAATAAACTGAATGCTTCAACGTGTCCAAGTTTACACCTTTAAATAGGTGGGTTACGTAAATTGCCCTGCACAGTTGTACTGACACTACCACCCTGTGATCACTGCCCCTTTCTCTTCGGCAGAATGCCTCAATGTTTCATGTGAACTTCCCATGGCCATAAGATGCCAGCCTTTAAACCAATTGTTCTTAGCATTGCCCAATACTGACACTACAGTATATTGGCACTCTCAATGCCAAATTGGGCCAAAAAACCTTGCTTCTCACAAAGATCATGTAAGGATACAAGTAGAGGTGTGTATTTGTGTGTGTGTGTGTGTGTGTGTGTGTGTGTGTGTGTGTGTGTGTGTGTGTGTGTGTGTGTGTGTGTGTGTATGTGTGTTCAGCTCACTGATCTACTCACCCTGGTCTCACCGTGTATATAAAGCCCCATAGAGCATGATCAAACTGAGAGACATGGTTAGATTGAGGTCAGCAGAAGCATGGCACATCAGCATTGTAACTATCCACAGGAGCATGGACGGCTAGCGCTGAGTAAGCAATCGCTAGCATTAGCGTAGCTTATTCAGCCGTAGTGATTGATGTTACGTTAGCGTAGCATGTTAACGATAATATGCTACGCTAAGATGCTACACTAACGTAACATCAATCACAGCAGCTGGATAAGCTACGCTACGCTAATGCTAACGTTTGCCCTGGCATGACGAGACATCAATCGCTAAGCGAGAACAGATAAAGATCTTCCTCTCCTTTTATGGCTCATGGCATTCTTTGGATGGAATGAAAGTGGAGTGTGTGTGTGTGTGTGTGTGTGTGTGCGCAACGTGCATGCGCATATGTGTGTGTGTGTGTGTGTGTGTGTGTGTGTGTGTGTGTGCGTGTGTGTGTGTGTTTGGTACCTTCTCATAGCGTGTCTCCATACAGAGCAAGATGAAGTAGGCTGTAGCGCACGACAGACATCCCTCCATGTAGGACTGACCTCCGACCTTCTCTGCCTCTGCATAGTAGGTGTTCAACGTCTTCACTGTGTCCTCGAACAGGGTCCGCTCAATCTACACACACGCAGGTTCATGTGCAAACACAAATACACGAGGACGAAGGCACACACACATAACACCCACACACTCACACTGTTAGTAAATCAGCACTATCGAAGAGTGAATGCTCCATCTGTCAGGAGACTGGCACACACACACACTCACACACACACATACACACACACACACATACACACACACACACTCACACACACACACACACCATATGTATACCAGCGTGAGGCTTTTTAGCGAAACTGCATGAGCCATGACACACAAGCTGTTCTTCCACCAGCATACACACACACACAAACACATACACCCACACACACACATACACACACACACACACACACACACAAACACACACACCCACACACACACACACACACACACACACACCACCACCACCACCAAACAGGCACATTCTGTTCTCCCAAAATAAATGTTTGTTCTACCGATTTAGAAACACATGCGTCACTTGTAGCATTCAAGGATGGACTAAACAACCTTGAAAGGCTCCAATTCTAGAAATGTGATAACAAAGTGATATGACAAAGCAATATGACACACAACATTAGGAAACAAACAAACTCTGTTTATGTTACTTTTTACCCCATCTCCCCCATACCCCACCTCCCTATGTCCTCTTCCCCGTCCCCCCTCTCCCCCTATACCACACCTCCCTACCTCCTCTCTCCCCCCTCTACCCCCTCTCCCCTTATACCACACCTCCCTATGTCCTCTCTCCCCCCTCTCCCCCCTCTCCCCCCCTCTCCCCCATACCACACCTCCCTATGTCCTCTTCCCCGTCCCCCCTCTCCCCCATACCACACCTCCCTACCTCCCTCTCCCCCTATCCCCATCCACCCGATACCACACCTCCCTATGTCCTCTCTCCCCCCTCTCCCCCACCTTATCCACCCATAGCCACACCTCCCTATGTCCTCTCTCTTTCTCTCTCTCTCCCTCCCTCTCTCCATGTGAGAGTGAGCTGTATGAGCCTGAATCCATCTCTAGGCCCTGTGCTGACAGAGGTGGTCTCTCTCTCTCTCTCTCTCTCTCTCTCTCCTCTCTCTCTCTCTCTCTCTCTCTCTCTCTCTCTTGCTCTCTCTCTCTTCCATTACTGAATTGTTAGCGACCTCATCAGGCCCATCATTCTTCCTGTAGCTCAGGGCCCTGTGTGTGTGTGTTCATTTGCGTGTGTGAGTTTGTTTGTGTGTGTGCTCACCCTGCTGTCCAGCTCAGAGGGGAACTTAGTCTGGAAGCGACAGGTAGTCCCTTGGCTGTAGTCTCTCTGGATGAACACCTTGGTGGCTACAGACACACTGTGTCTCAACTCCTGTAGGTTATGGAACTATAGAGAGAGAGTGACAGAGAGAGGGGGAGAGACGGGAGAGAGAGAGAGACAGAGAGGGGGAGGGATAGCGACAGTGAGGAGGAGGGAGCGAGGGGGAGCGAGAGAGAGAGAGACAGAGAGTGGTAGGGAGAGAGAGATGGGAGAGAGAGAGACCGGGGAGAGAGACGGGAGGGAGAGAGACGGGGGGGAAGGAGAGAGGGGGAGAGAGACAGAGAGGGGGAAGGAGAGAGAGGGAGGGAGAGAGAGAGGGGGGGAAGGAGAAAGCGAGATGGGAGAGAGAGACGGGAGGGAGAGAGACAGAGAGGGGGAAGGAGAGAGGGGGAGGGATAGAGACAGAGAGGGGGAGAGAGGGGGAGGGAGAGATAGAGAGGGGTAAGGGGAGGAAGAGAGAGAGAGGGAGAGAGAGAAAATAAAAACAGGTGGGTGAAAACATCCAGACACAATGCAGTACAGTCCCCATAATATATTGGATCACTCCGTCTCTATCAATGGCTGCAATCGCCTCTCCATGCCTCCAATCCCTCTCTCCCTCCGTCCCTCCGTCCCTCTCTCCCTCCATCTCTCTGCTGTCCTTCTCTCCCTCCATCTCTCCATCCGTCCCTCTCTCCCTCCGTCCCACTCACCCTCCATCTCTCCATCCGTCCCTCTCTCCCTACATCCCTCTCTCCCTCCATCTCTCCATCCGTCGCTCTCTCCCTCCATCTCTCTGCCGTCCTTCTCTCCCTCCATTTCTCTGGCGTCCTTCTCTCCCTCCATCTCTCCATCCATCCCTCTCTCCCTCCATTCCTCTCTCCCTCCATCTCTCTGCCGTCCTTCTCTCCCTCCATCTCTCTGCCGTCCTTCTCTCCCTCCATCCCTCTCTCCCTCCGTCCCTCTCTCCCTCCATCTCTCCCTCCGTCCCACTCTCCCTCCATCCATCTCTCCCTCCGTCCCACTCTCCCTCCATCTCTCCATCCGTCCCTCTCTCCCTCCATCCCTCCCTCCATCTCTCCCTCCGTCCCACTCTCCCTCCATCTCTCCATCTGTCCCTCTCTCCCTCCATCTCTCCCTCCGTCCCACTCTCCCTCCATCTCTCTGCCATCCCTCTCTCCCTCAGTGGCTCTAAATATCATTTTGACTAACATCGCCTCTCCCTTCGTCCCTCTCAAAGCTGCATTTGTGCAACTCTAAGCAGGCCGCTACTCATGAACACACACACAGTAGAATCCTCCAAGGCCACTACTCATGTATCATCTCTGCATTATTTCTACTCATATAATGCAAGAGGGAAAGAGAGAAGAGGGGGATGAGAGGAGGAGAGAGAAGAAGAGAGGCAGGCTCAGACAGCCCTCAGTCCTTTATTCCTTCCATCTTTTTTTTCTTCTCCATCCTTCTGTTTCGTGTTTACCACAACAAGCATTCTTCTTTCCACTGTGAGTGAAGAGGTAGAAACAGGAATTTGAATTGCATGAAATACAAAAGATCTTATGAAGCTTGAATTTGAAAACTGTAAATGGTATTGTCAAGCTGCATAATATAGTTGTAGTTCAGGGTATTCACATACTTGATGATAGGAATCTGCGTACCATTCCAATTGATTTATTTGGTATTTTATTAGGATCCCCATTAGCTGTTGTGAAAGCAGCATCTACTCTTCCTGGGGTCCACACAAAACATGAAACATGACACAAACAGAACATTAATCGACAAGATCAGGACAAGGACAGAACTGCATACATTTAAAAACGGCACCCATAGCCTACATATCAATACTGTACATACACACAAAATATCCAGGTCAAATAGGTGAGAGGGGTTGTGCCGTGAGATGTTGCTTTATTTGTTTTTTGAAACCAGGTTTGCTGTTTATTTGCGCAATATGAGATGGAACGGAGTTCCATGCAATAATGGCTCCATACAATACTGTACGCTTTCTTGAATTTATTCTGGATTTGGGGACTGTGAAAAGACCCCTGGTGGCATGTCTGGTGGAGTAAGTGTGTGTGTCAGAGCTGTTCATTTGAGCAATATGAGATGGAAGGGAGTCCCATGGAATAATGGCTCTATATAACTGTTACGGATACAGGTATCCTGTGTCTTTTTGTGTTTTCCTCTCCTTCTGCCCTAATCACAGGTGTCCTGTATGTTCCTGATTGGTGGTCGTTGAGGTGTCTGCTGATTGCTAAGGTGGACCAATCAGTGAACATTCCTCTGCATTGCACCACCTGTTTCTGGTTTTTCAAATCACACATCCCATTGTTTAAAAGCCGGTCATTTGTGTTTGTTGTGAGAGACTATTTCCGTATGTGAGTATGGATACTGTGGTGTCCTGTGTTTTGTTTACTCACTAAGTTGCTGGTTACTCTGTTTGGTAACTTTGTTAGACTTCTTTTCGTATGTGAGTATGGATACTGTGGTGTCCTGTGTTTTTGTGTACTCACTCATTTGCTGGTTACTCTGTTTGGTAACTTTGTGTGTTTCTGGGAAAAGGGGAATTCAAGCAAGTTGCCCTTGGGCGTACATTACCCGTAGGAAGAAATCTGTCTAAAAACACTAGTTAGACCTGAGCGGACCACCCCCTGTACTTTTGTATGATTAGCAGTAGTTTAGCGGTTCTTGAGGCAGGCAAGATCAGTTTAGGGGTGTTTTACACTATTGTTTCATTTCTTGGGTCCTGCTCAGCCCTTTTTCCCAAAACTTTACCGTGTGTTTAAAAATAAACCTTTTATGTTTGACGGTAGTTTATGGTTGTCGTGTAGTTTTTGTTCTCGCTGTTCCATGTCATCATTCTAATTTGTATGAATTATGTTACGGGTCTCTTCTCCATCCACCCTAGACGTTTAAAGCCACGGGGTTCGTAACAATAACACTGTACGCTTTCTTGAACTTGTTCTGGATATACACCTGTGCCATGTGGTTGCCATCTGGTTACCATCTGGTTGCCATCTGGTTGCTATCTGGTTGCCATCTTGTTAGAGCTAGACAGTCACAAGCTCGGGACAATCCTCGGTCCCAGCCACGAGGGCTAACCGCGTCACGGGCTGCGTTCAAGCCCTCAAGAAAACCATGCTAGCTTGATAGACAGCTAACATTGGCAGTTAGGCTAGCTGCTACGCCTAGCAGCTCATCAGACCATTGGTCGGCAGGATCCCAGGACAGATAGCAACAGTCCCAGAAACGGATGTCAAACTCAAAAGGTAGCTAGCTAGTAACCAAACTTTTTTTTATAGAATACTTTTTCAGAGACTTTCAAAACTTTCCAAAACAACAAACCAAGTTCTCCCTCATTCCACGTTTATAATGTATGAAGGCATTAATTCATCCTGAATACAGAATAAGGTTCTGAAGATCTCATTGGCTTAGATTTTTCCTTAGCCAATCAGTAGCTAAAGTCACACATGTCTAATAGAAGTTACATCACATATGCACAACGCTTGTCTTTTTAAAACAGGCTACACGGAAACAATCAAAATACAGACTAGTTACAAAACAAAAACTCCCACACACACAAACTAACTCTGAC